CTGGAGGGGAGGGGGCAGGGGATTGGGTAACTGGAGTGATGTGATGAGCACTGGGAATCATGGAAGACTGATGAATCCCTGAGCTCTACCTCTCTAGCCAATAATACATTCTATGTTAATTGAATTTAAATGAATTTTTTAAAAAGGGGGGGGCGGAAATGAGAAGTTTGCAGACCACTGTTCAAGATAAACCTCTAACAGCCAAGCTGCTTGATGCGCCACCCTCCAGACAGGCCTTCCCCACCAGCCCTGCCCTCACCTACTTACCTACGCATATCCCAAGAGGCCATCCAAACCCTTTATCCAGAAAGCCCTTCCTGCAGACCCCATATTGAAAACGCGCCCCTCCCTCTGCTCACTTGCCACTTCCCACTTGCGACTGAATCACTGATCTGATCCGCTAAGGTCTTTTTTTTTTTTTTAATTTTTTTTTAAATTTTTATTTATTTATGATAGTCACAGAGAGAGAGAGAGGCAGAGACACAGGCAGAGGGAGAAGCAGGCTCCATGCACCGGAAGCCCGACGTGGGACTGGATCCCGGATCCCGGGTCTCCAGGATCGCGCCCTGGGCCAAAGGCAGGCGCCAAACCACTGCGCCACCCAGGGATCCCCTGATCCGCTAAGGTCTTAAAGTCAAGAATGCTGAAGTCCTTACAGGAGAGGAATCGCCCACGTTTCGGTGGTTTTGTGCAACAACGGTTTATTTCTTCCCCTGCCCTGGATTGCCTTGACTTCCACCTCGCCCCTGCGCCTGCCAAAACACGGGACACGCACCCCAGGACTGGGGACAGGAGAAGCGGGAGCCGCGCTCTGGTTCCCAGCTCTTAGCAGCGGGAGCCTGGAGCTGACACGTGACAGGGCTGCCTGCGCTTGATTGGTCAGCGCTAGTCACCTGACGCCGCCAGCTGCGGAGGATGCTGGGAAGTGAGCTCGTGGGCGTTTGCCCAGCGGTCGATGACTGAACACTCTTCGGGGTGGGATGCTTTTTTTTTTTTAAGATTTAATTTATTTATTCATGGGAGACCCACACAGAGGGAGAGAGGCAGGCTCCAGGGAGGGACTTGATCCGGGGTCCCCAGGATCACGCTAAACCACTGAGCCCCCGGGCTCCCGATCGCATCCTATGATACAGGGCCTTGCGTCGGGCCTTCGGCGGTAGGTCACAGGAATGTTTTTTCTACCTGATAATAGTGAAATCACAATATACATAATTTTTTAATAGATACTCAGGCAACATCTGGTTAAGGCATAAGCTACAGCATGGCTCATAGTTGACATCGAAGTTTTGTTATTCTCTCCTATTTGACATCGGAGCGGTCTGGGTAGATGTTCCACGTATTAGTGTAGAACTGCGTTGCCCGGTGTGGATACATTAAAAATCTAGTTCTTCGGTGGCATTAGCCACACTTCAAGTATCTGGTAGCCACCGGTGACCAGTGACTGGCGCTGATGGTGCAAATGTATTTTCACCATTGCAGAAGGTTCTACTGAAGGCGGTTGTGTGAAGAGCAGTAAGACTGTCCTAGATTTGAATGTGAATGCTAAAAGAAGGAAGAAAACCAAAGAGAAAGGTACTCTATTTTAAAATATATATATGTTTATTTGAGAGAAAGTGCACGTGCATGAGTGCGAGGAAGGGCGGCACAGAGAGAGGGAGACCAGCAGACTCCCCGCCGAGCGCAGAGCTTGACACAGGGCGCAGTCTCAGGACCCTGAGATCATGACCTGAGCAGAAACCAGGAGGCAGACACTTAATTTGCTGCGCCACCCGGCAACCTCAGAGAAAGTTACATTACTTTTGTGCCTCAGAAAATAGATTAAAAATATTCCAAACTTAATCCTAACAGTAGTTCTAAGCACTTGGTGAATATGACTTCAGAAACGGTTTGCTGGGAGGCAGTATTGGAAAGTAGAGAAAGGCCGGGATGAGGAGTCAGAAGACCTGACTTGGAGCCCTAAATCTCTCTTAATTAGCCAGGAGACCTTCTGCAGATCACTTAGTCTCTCTGCTCCTTGCTTTCCTCATTTATAACATTCGATACCCATAGGTGTTATCCTTAGCTATTATTTTATTTTCTCTGAGGTCCCTCCTAATTTAAAATCTTTCTTTTTAATTAGGTCTGTGGGTAAAAGTACAACTTCTTAAGTAAAAATGACCTTTCTTAAACTCTTCTCCTAAGTCTATTTAAACTCATATATTCAGCCCTTTGAGAACTAAATTCACTTGTGTCCCAGAGATTTCCCGCGATGCCACTCTTCTGAGCAGGAGTGCTGCCCTGTTTCTTGAGGCCAGGGGGCTGTCAGCACTCACCCCTACCCCTTCCCAAAGCCACTTGGCATCACCTCTTATGAGCAAAACCTCTCTGCCTTCAAAGACCTTTGGGGAAAGTGAACTTACTCTACAGAATTGAAAACTTGCAAAATAATAATAATAATAATAACTTGGGGTCAGAAATACTTCTTTTTTCATGTGGCCAGTCCCCCTCAACCAATGGAACTAAAAGCTTTGTCAGATCGTTTTTTTTTTTTTTTTTTTTTAATCACTGGAAGAATGCTAGAATGTTTTCTCAGAAATAAGTCTCTGTATGGTATCTGCTAGATCCCATGTTCTTCTATTTCATCCATCTTGGTTATTGGCCATAGGATATCCAAAGGGTGTGTTTTGTGTTTAAGACCATGAAGGCTTCCCTTTCTTTCCAAGACAGCTGCAGTGCCCTGGCTGACCAGGGAGGAGATGTGGCCTCCTGTGCTCCAGCCAGTCCTCTTGGGAGAAGGTGGAGCTGCCTGCCTCCTGCTGCTTATGGATTCTCAGTTGTTTGTAATTTTCTCACAAAATAAATACTCCGAGGCTATAATTTCTCACTGGTCTCAACCCCAGAAGTGTATTCTGTTGTTGTTGTTGTTTTTGGAAAGTCTCAAAAATGTCTGCTTGGTAGAGATTATTTCAGTGGGAGCATGTATGTCAGCAGTTAAATTTCTCAGATGCATTTTCTTTTCTTTTTCTTATCCAAATAACCCTTAAAAATAGCAAGTACCTAGGCCTCAATGAGGAATTCATGTCAGGAATTTATTCTCCACTCTGTTTTTGATTTTTTTTCTTCATTTTTCCTCTTTTTCTGAGAAAATGCATAGAAAATAAGGATCTGGACATACTTTGCATCGCCAAGAAAAATAACAGACTTTACTGTTGCCTTCACCCAACTTTGAAATTGTACCTCATTCGTTTCACAGTGGGACAAAGTTACACTGTTTGTAGGAATTCCAGTTAAGCCTTAGTCGTCTTTTTTACCATTATAACAGAATTCTCAGAAATGTATGTCTTTGGAATTCTCTTTCTAGACAAAGCTCACTAGGTAACTTGGCCCAGGAAGCAACTCTAACTTCCCAGCTGCTAAATAAGATGCATCATAGCTACCGTGATGCCCCTTCCTCCCTGTATTTGTCCTAGTCCTGCATTTTGTGAATGAGACTTCATGTGACCTGCTTTGGGGGCATTAAATGGTATCTGCTTACAACTCTGTTGTGGGGGTGAAGGAGTTAACTCCTTTCTCCCCCTTTAGATACCTGCTTCTTCTCACTCCCTTTCCCTCCCCAGATACATTCTTTGCTCCTGATTGCTTATAAAAGCGAGTTGGTGGCTGGCAGCAAAAGTGGGGTCTGTTTCCATTTTGAATCCTATAAATTATCAAGGGTGCAGAAGTAACAGTAATTGTTTGGCTGGTCCTCGTTAAGCAGGAGGGGGTCTGGGCTGAATTTCCTCAGTAAAACCTTTGTGGACTTTACAACCAAAACACCTCTGCAGCCACCCTGTGCTCAGATAAGAAACAGTCCTGTCCTCTCTGTCTGCTTGTCTTCTTTTTTGCCCTTTATTCTATTACTTTATGTTCATTTCTTGCCTTCCTCCTCTTTTCTTGGGGCAGGGACAAAACAGGTGTCAGCAATTTTCTTAGAGTTGGGGAAACTGAAGCTTGTTGTGGTCACATTCCCTAGAATCTTTCAAATTGGTAACTCATGCAGTGTTCTAGATAAATACGTTACTTCTTTGGGGGAAAGTAGGGAATTAAAACAAGTATCTGGAAAATTGAGAGGACACCAAAACTTGCTTTTGGAATTAGTTTATAAATCTGTTAATGAAATTTTCCTCTAGAACTCACTGTTAAAAGGCCTCACTGTTCTTTTTTTTTTTTTCTTAAGATTTTATTTACTTATTTATGAGAGATACAGAGAGAGAGGCAGAGACACAGGCAGAGAGAGAAGCAAGCTCCATGCGGGGAGCCTGACCTGGGACTTGATCCCGGGACTCCAGGATCACACTCTGAGCTGAAGGCAGATGCCCAACCTCTCAGCCACCTTTGGGATGCCTCACTATTCTACATCACCCTGATTCTAATTCTGTTAAGCTCCCACCAGGTGCAGAGCACTTATAGAAAAAAAAAATGTGAAGAGGCTTCTGTTATGGTTAAAAGTACAGAGATTTGAAAAGATCTTCGAAACTCTCTGACCTTAGGATTCACTAGTAACATTGCCTAAACAAGGGGTTCAGCATGTATTACACACATGACGGTGAAGTCCACAATAGCCTGGTATTAGTGACATGGCATGCCATGTGGCCATGGACATCTGGCCTCCTGCAAGCCAGTGATAAAGATGAGGTCATCCTTCCCAGCAATGTGTGAGATGCTCACTGCCTGGACCCTGGCCCTGTCTGCAGGTCCCAGACCCTCTAACAGGCCTTGGTTGCTGCCAGTACATGGGGCAAGGCTCTGGCTCTCCTACCACAGTAAAATCCCCTTCTAGCTCAAGGGAACTACTTAAAAGAAGCCTCTTTTAGATGAGAAATGACATGAGCATATTCTTTGGCTTTCCAGCCACTGTTCAGGTTGACATCTTGAATGTTGCCAGCATGTGCAGTAGAGGCAGGGGGTGAAGGGACAGAGCCAGGCCCTATGGCAGGCAGCCTCACTCACCACCAGGGCCATTTCTCTCTTTCTCACAACAGAGTGGTGTGGGGGATTGTAGTACCTCTTGGAGTGACTCCAGTGGCTTATGGGACGTTGGCTTGGACCCTTGGTGACACCGTGCTGCATGGGATGATGACGACTCAGAGAGAAAAAAGGCGTGAGGTCACCCTCGCTTGCCTCCTCTTGGCCACAGCAGGCTGCTTTGCTGACTTGAGTGAGTGCTTTCCTTCCCTTTCTCAGCCTGCCCCTCTTATAAAACACTTTGCTGCCCATGTCAAATGGAAGCATTACACATTCAGTAGTAACCCTTTAAAAAGGCCTTCCTTTTCCTGGATTTCAAAGAATAATTCATTCCCATTGGCCTTCAGGGATACATCCAATAATATAAGATGAGAAATCATCTTGGCAGCCTCATAGTGGTTGTATTTTAGTATTTCAAATATATACCAGAGGAGGAGGAATAGTAATGACTGCCTTTAATTGAGCACTTGCTATATGAGATTATGGCTGGCAGTTGACATGCACTGTTTGTAAGCTTCACAGCAGCCCTTGGAGGCAAGTATCATTAGCCCCATTTTATAGGTAAGAGACATAAAAAGGCTCAAGTGACATGGCTCAGAAGCAGTGGCACTGGGGTTTGGGCCCAGTCCTGTCCAACTCCAATGCTCGAGCTCTTGCCTTTACACCTTGCTGCCACTCCAGTCTGCCTTCTGAGAACAAGTACAGGCTGGGGAATGGACCCAAGGAGGACAGTAGTGTTCTTCAGAAAAAGATCGACCCCTCTGGATTGCTCAGCTCTGGAAGGCCGTGTGGATGCTCATGTACTGCTTTCATGGGGGGTGTTTGTTCATTGCTATGTCGCTGTTCTTCCTCCAGACCAGATCCCTCAGGTCACTGTCCAGCCTTCTTCCACCGTCCAGAAGCTCGGAGGAACTGTGATCCTGGGCTGTGTCGTGGAACCCCCATGGATGAACACCACCTGGCGCCTGAATGGGAGAGAGCTGAATGGCTCAGATGATGCCCTGGGCATCCTCATCACCCGCGGCACCCTCGTCATCACTGCCCTCAATAACCACACCGTGGGACGGTACCAGTGTGTGGCCCGGATGCCTGCAGGGGCCGTGGCCAGTGTGCCAGCCACTGTGACACTAGCCAGTGAGTGTTTCTCCTTTGCTCCTCTGCCACAGTGCACTCTCTCTTCGACTCTCCCATTCTTTCTCTTCCCCAGACCATTCCTACCCCATGTCAGTAGTCCTAACATAAAAGGGGGCCCTCAAATTTGAAATTCCAAACCAGAGAGTGGTAGCTGCCTAGCGGTCCCCAATGGTGGAGGACCATTGTGCCCCTAGGAAGCTGCTCTCTAAGTAGGGACCATGTCTGGAGTGAGTATCTGGAAGCAGAGGGACGCGACATGTTTGAACTGTTTCTGTGGGCGCCAGAGCTGGGCCATGCCATGCCTTTCTACTTTCCCCTTAACTTTAGGTGTGATTGTGCCAGCTGCTCACTGTCTCCCCTGCACTCCATCCTCATGGCAGTTATGGTCAGAGCATTTGCAAGGCCATGTGCAGTCCAAACAGAGCTGCCCATCCCATGCTTGGCCTCCTGTCTGTCTGAGGGGCAAGCATCATCCAAAGGCCTGGGGTATAAATAATAGAACACAATGAAAAGAAAACTGTGTGACAAAGAGTAAAGAGAACAGAAAAGAGGACAAGACTGGGGTACAGTTTGGTCCAAGGAGGATGTTCAGAGAAGACTTTATACTACCCTTAATACGTAATTACCACTTGCATATATTATGTGCAAAACACACATTGCCTTGTTTTCCACCCATTGTACATCTGGGAGACAAGACCTACTGACGAAATAAACTTCTGAAGGCTGCAGGGCAGCTCCAATATCTGTTCTTATATACGAGTCTACGGCCAGGAACTATTAAGAATGACGTCTTCTTCCTTGGAGCCTTGTTCCCTCCTGACCTAGCAGGGTCCCCTAACCCCTGACAGCCTTGCTTCAGACTTTCATGTCACCATCATCATCACTCCCCTGAGTGATGTGTGTTAGGGGTCATGCCTAACACAGCAAACTTCTGAAATACTCCTTAAAGGTTGACTGGGGTCCCTGGGTGTGTGTGAGGTGTGAGTCCAGGAGGAAAGTGGTGGGAGATGAGGAAGTAGAAAAGAGGGGGGACCCCCGCCTCCCCCCCATGATTCCCAGGTCCTTGGAGGAACTTCACTCTGTGAGAGAATAGAGCAGACATTGCTGGCAGTGTTCTGGTTTTCTTGGAAAACAGTCAAGCAGCCCTGCCCTTTTCTCAGAGAAGGGAGAAGGTGGGGTGGGTCCTCAGCTGTCCCCCCCAGGGGGCCAGGCTGAGCCTCCTCATGCAATAGGAGCCATTTTCCTTGGTGGCAGGAGCACATGCTCAGGGAGGCAGGCCTTCAGCCACAGCCCGGCCCTCCCCCCTACCTGTGCTTGCGGGATGCCAGGAGAGGGTACTGGCACTTAAGTGGGGAAGGTAGAGGGTAGGGAGGGATCATCTCATCGTACAAGAAGGGCTGAGGTTCAGAGCTGCACTCCTGCCATCATAGTCCTCTTTTCTATTTTTAAGTTGTAACGAAAATCATAGAAAGTATAGAATTTATAGAAAATACCATTTCCCCTCAGCCCACCATTATCCCATGACCATCATTTACCATTTTGGAGTATACCCTTCCACTCTTCATCCATACCTGTACTTCTGTACTTCTTTTTTTTTTTTTTTGACTGAAGTGTGTAGTTGACATACAGTATTAGTTTCGGGTGTACAACATAGCGATCTGACATTTGTCTCCATTGTGAAATGGTCACCACGATATGTCTGTTTACCCTCTGTCGCCACACACAGTCGCTATCACTGATTGAATTCCCTGTGCTGTACATTATATCCCCATGACTGACTTTATGACTGGAAGCTTGTCCCTCTTGATCTCCTTCATCCATTTTCCACCCCTCCCCCCTCCCCTCCGGCAGTCAGCACTCTATTCTCTGTATCAGTGAGTCTGGGCTTGGTTTTGTTTTGTTTTTTTTTATTTATTATTTAATTTTTATTTTTTTAAGATTTTATTTATTCATGAGAGACGGGGGGGGGGGGCAGAGACACAGGCAGAGGGAGAAGCAGGCTCCATGCAGGGAGCCTAATATGGGACTCAATCCCAGGCCACGCCCTGGGTCAAAGGCAGGCACCAAACCACTGAGCCACCCAGGTGTCCCTGGTTTTGTTTTTTTTTGATTCTACCTATAAGTGAAATCATAGGTATCTTTCTTTCTCTGACTTATTTCACTGAACATAAGGCATGCCCATATTTCATGCTTTCATAGTGATCTACTGAATATATAGTTTCTGTCCATATTCTCTTCCTCTCAGCATTGTGTGGTAAGCATTTTCTGTTGGCCATATGACCATATTTCTTCTGTTGAGTATAATTCAGCAAAGTATATGAAAGTGGACTAATAAGTCAACAACCTGATTCATCTTTCACATGTATAACCAACCCCAGGCAGTCATCACTCTAGCGAGCTCCCCCCATGCCCCTTACTAGTCATCTGTGCCCCCAGCCACAAGCAGAGCAGGATCACGGTTACCAATGGCCCTGAAATATCCCCTGGGTGGCTCTACACTATGTCCTGAACCCTTTTGCTATTGCTGGACCATTAGGTTGCTTTCAGTGGTTCATTATTACAAGTAAGATGTGCCTTTTACAGCCCCGGTGGCTCAGCGGTTTAGTGCTGCCTTCAGCCTGGGGTGGGATCCTGGAGACCCGGGATTGAGTCCCATGTCGGGCTCCCTGCATGGAGCCTGCTTCTCCCTCTGCCTGTGTCTCTGCCTCTCTCTCTCTGTCTATGTCTCTCATGAATAAATAAATAAATAAAAATCTTTTTTTTTTAAGTGCCTTTTAGTAGCATTCATGCCTTTAAAGGATTTTGCTGCTCATCTAGGAGGGTTGCTCATCTGCAAATAGCCAGCACATGTCTGTGAAGACCCAGAAAACTCCATAACTGTTCATTTGGCCTTATCAGGAGCAAGGCTGAACCTTTTCTTTGCAGGAAAGGATAGTTAGAGTGTAGAAGATTTATGTTGGAGCCCACCTTCTACTTCAAGATGTGTCTGTGTGAGGAGAGACCTTTTTTTTTTTTTTTTGCCTTTATTTAAAAAGAAATTCCTGGCCACTTCTTTCTGTGGTACTTGAAGGGATCTGTAGTTGACAGTGAGGACAAAGGGGAGGGTTTGGTTGTATCCCAGAAGGCACAGTGAGAGAAGTGGCTTGTGCAGAAGCCTAGCGCATCTTGCTGGAAAGCCAAGAACTGTTGGCTTGTCATAGAGACATGAATCAGAAGTGAAATGTTTGGAGCTGACTGGCGGGATGGAGAAGTGCTGGAAATGAGGAGAGCTGGCTCAGGGGCTGTGGCAATGGAGTGGAACTGCAGCCTCCCCAGCTCAGAGGAGGAGGCGCCAGTGGCGGCGGGAAGGCAGGAGAGGCAGCAGAACGGGGTGCTGTCTTTGGGCTAATGCCATGGGGGATTTGGCCCAGACTCAGCAGTTAGATTAAGTTTCCGAAAGCACATTCCTGAGCAGAATGGGGGCTGTGTTTTGCTGGTTGGCTGATGGAAGGAGGCTGAGTGGTGAAGGGATTACCGAGGCATGGTCTGAATTTAGAGGCAAGGCTGGGCCGTGGCGTGCCTGTGCACACGCACACACACCCGCCCACACTCAACACTTAAGGCTTCCTTTTCCTCTGGCCATTTTTGCGTGCGCTCAGATGTTCACCCTCAGACAAAGCACCCACTGTTTGACCTACCTAGCAAGGTGCTACCTCCTGTGTCTTCGTGGACTCCTGGATCACCGGGACCTTCCAATGGTGGGGGCTTAGACCTGACTTGAGGATTCAAGGGTGTGAAGGAGCCCTCTAGAAGAACTTTTCCTGGTCCAGACCTCTTTTACTGAGACGCTGGGGGCTGGGAGTACACTTGGACTTCACCCCTCTCTGTGGACATTGGCTTCTGGTCTTCAGGTCAAATGGAGCAAATGCGGATAACTGCTGTCTTCGCTCTCTGTGGAGGTGTCCATCCCACTCTCCTCCACACAGAACTTTTTCTCCTGTTGAACCCAAACTTTATTTGTGGTAAATCTCTTGCTGCTAATGCCTCACTTCAGACCACCTTGTCTAATTCTTGCTTTTCAAAATACTTTTGACTTTGATCTCCTTTCTTCCTTACTCCTTTTTCTAAGCTTTACACCAGGAGGCCAACCACTCTACATGGCCCACATGTTCCCACTCTCTGCACCTGAACCAACAGCAGACTTTGCCAATGGACACCATATTCCTTTTTTCTATACTCTGACTCAGCCTTACAATTGTTCTCAACACAGCCCAGCAAGGAATCACAATTTAGCAGAGCTGGCATATGATGTGAAAACTGTTTTTGATCCCTTACCTCTAATAATTCAAATGAACTCCTACGTAATTGTTAATTTTACCTTTTTTCAATTTTTAAAAATTATTCTCCTAATTATCTTATCATCCCTAGGTCCCATTTGTCGTTGGAAATAAAACAGGTGGTAACTGGGTAGTACTATAGCTGGGAACTTTAGTTCTCAAGCTAATGTGAAGTCTTAAACTGATGCTGGTTTAATTGAGACCAGATCTGTAACTCCTCCCTAAGGCCTTTAGGCTCTAAGAATCAAGCATGGTTCTTGAGTTTTCTTTCCTCGGGAGACGAAGGAGCTCCCCTTAGCCAGTTGTCTCCATGACCCTGACTCTGAGGAAGGTCAGAAGGTGACAGAATTTAACCCATGAATAAAATGAAGAAACAAACTAATATTATGGAGGGGAAAGAAAGACTTTAAAAAACCCCTTGGGTTGAAGTTTTAACTCTGCCCTTAGGACTTGATGTGACTCTGGGTAAGTCAGTCCCTCAGATTGCCACAACTATGAAATGAGCACAGTGATAATTTATAGCATCAGTATCATAGTTTTTTTTTGTTTGGTTTTGTGGGGTTTTTTTTTTTTGAGGGTCAAATGATGGGATAGTAATATTTTGAAGCACTTTATAAATTCTAGGCTTTATACATTCCACCCATTTGATCAGCGAACATTTGTGGAGTGTCCTCCTGCAGGAGG